ATACTGAGATCTTCGAATGCTAAATAACGTTAAATCTAATCTAATTTTTCCTTCAATAAAATTAATAAAAAAAGACTTACCTGCGTTGTATTCCACTGCGTTTTGGTGTCTGCAACCAAATTTATGAAGCTTTGTATGGAGACGCTATGTTGGTGTCCCTTTGAGGGGCACAAAATGTCCGCCGAAAACTAACAGAAACATCTGTTTTTGAGTTTTCTATAAATACGCGAATTCATCGTTTCACTCAACTCATAAACACTCAAGTAATAGTTATTCTGAGACAAGGAATGTTTCAACAAAATTTCAAAAAATCAGTAACGTTAGGTTATGGGCTCCTGGGAACGTTTTTAAGCCACATAAGAGCTTTCCCGGCCGCCTGCTAAATGCCGCGTCACCCAAAAGCTTTAAAATTCAACCGTCCTTTATGGCAAAACGGAGAACCCTTTCCAACCGAAAATTTATACAAATAAAGCTGTTTGGCTGCTGTAATGCCTCATGGAAGTAGAAACTCAGAAGAATCGATAGTTTGTTAGTTTGAATTTTGGTGACGTCATATGAACCGGAACCGAGAATAAGCGTTCGCTAAGGTGTGGAATTTTAAAATATCAGTAACACGTGTAAGTAACATTTTTAAAAACATGGTGTATGTTGAACCTTCCATGCATTTGCGTCCCCGACAGCTTAAGACCAGTTTGAAATTAAACTAACTCTGATTAACCAAGACAGACTTAGATTCTGGATTCCGGTCTTTGTCATTGAAACTCGGATTCTTATCTTAGCTTATCGTGTAGCAAAGAATTGAAATAAAATAGTTACTCACTTTTTGCTGAAGGTTATGACAGGATAGCAAAACCAGTCCATAAGGCTTCAGAACAACAAAGAACACAAAATACAGCAAAAATAATAGACCACGAGCGGTTGTCCTTCTTTCCTCATTGCCACGACCGAAAGAGTGAAATTATTCAAATTAATGATAAAAAGGAGGAGCGCTTCCGCCCTCATTCCTCGCGGCTTCGCCACTCGCCCCTCACACGCGCTCTCGATCTCCCTGACTCAAAAAAAAAATAAGAGACTACTCGCAGTCCACAAAAGTTGGCATATTTTAATTTTTTGCAGCACTATAAGCTAAGATAAGGCCATATATATATATTTTTTCCATATAGACCCTATAAAGAGGGTCTCAATGGGGTGGTGGCCTTTACGGTTATCGGCTAAAATGTGGGATCTTTTACGGCTATCGGTTAATTTTTTTCAGTTACGGTTGACGAAAAAGTTAAAAATTAACTTCTTTTGTTTCAAAAAGTTAAATATTAATTAAACTGTATTTTTTTAATAAAGGTCTTTGGATCATCTCGGGATGAAATAAGCTATTCTTTGGAAAAATTTTAACATTTGACAGATCATATTTTTTATAAAGTATTCCACTTCTAATATTGTTTTACGCTTAGAAATGTCAATAGTCAGTTTAAAAATAATCTTTGTGACAAAGCAAAAGCAGACACGCGAACACCCAACTTAAGGCCGGGGCGCGACATTCATGATTATAACAGAAATGGCCGTTTTCACACTAGAGAAGGATTATTCGTGTGAGACGGATTATCCGTTTGATGATTCGCGTCAGGTAGGTAATACGTCTTAATTTGAAAATGGAATAGTTTCAATTTTGAATGAACAATCCGCCTGACTTTTGAAGACGGGATTATCCGTTCCAGATAGCCTGTGTACAACCGCCCTCTCCACTCAGAAAATTTCGGAGAAGGGGTGTCTGTGGGGAGGACGCGACTGTACACAGGCTAATCTCAGACAGATGATCCATTTCTAGCTGTAGTGTGAAAACGGCCAATAACAAAATTCCGGTGTCCAGTGTTTTTAATGATAGCAAAGGACTGTACGGAACGACTGTCTGCTGTTGCCTTGGCCGTAGGCCGCATTATTCCTCGCAGCTAATGCATTTCGGGTCACGTGGTCCGAGCGAGTTCGCCACCGAAATGCCTTGACCGAGATTGCGTGGGAAGACGTCGTACAGGGACTAGGCATGGCAATGTCTACCGTAGCGTCCGAGAAAAAAAGGGAAATGTTGTTTATCGGCAACGCGTTTTACAAACAGTGACATCCCTGCGTGTTGCTTCACTAGTGTATGGAGGGCACGACCTCCGGAAAATTTCAAATATTAATACCTAGCAAGAAGCCACACTTTCGCTATGAAAAAAATTAGTTCCCCGAGAGAGCGCCGGAAATGGAGCCTAGGTCTTGGTTAAGGCGCTTCGCCTAACGTGCGTACGGAGTCACTCTAGCCGGGAAATAAAAAACGCAACAATAAGTGAGTTTAACTCGTTTTTACCCTATTTACGGCTAACGGTTAAAATTTTTCAATTTTTACGGCTATCGGCTAAATTTTTGGCCGTTTTACGCCTATCGGTTAACCCCATTGAGACCCTCTATAAAATGTTACGTTACGAAAGAAAGAAAGAAAATTAGAAAAGCATTCCGGTAATTCCTAGAGTCCGTTGGGGACCCGGAACAAGCTGATATGAGCGCTGCTTCGGAGACGTTACAAACTAGGGTTAAATTACATCTGCGACACAGGCTACATATATTAGCAGATGTATTAATTTTCAACGTATTGGTACGTACTCACGAACGTACTCACGTATTGAGTTTGGGACGCCTACGCAAGCCTGTGAGTGGAAGCACAGTGATAATGTGTCGTAGGAGGGAACCAAGAGAGGCAGGGCATGTGACAGTACTGCCTCAGCCATGACGCATGTAAGAATCTCCGATTTTCTGACAAGCATTGATGCTGATAATAGTAAAATTCTAAAAACTGTCATGTCATGACTGCCTTCTCGGGATTCATATTATATACAGCATGTTGTAAGCCTGACATAAATTCGGACTTCGAAGAAGAGTTATCCTTTAAGTGAGGATTCTTAAGATTCCAAGCCATTTCGCGATTCCGAATGAAGGCGGGACAGACGAAAACCACGACAAAATTTTCCACTCGTGGACATCAATTCCATCATATTTCAGCTTATAACTTGGTTTCAAAATAGTTTGTGAATGACTCTGCAGTCTTCTCTTGACGAATCTCCTGGGGATTTATGCATTTCATCGCTGGTACAGGTGGTGGATTTCTCGGGGTGGACCCAGATGGGTTAGTGGAAGAGTTAGGGTGTCTCTTGGCCTCTAGATTGCGTATCTTCCGTTTGCACTCTCTCCGGACCTGATTGAAAAAAAAAAAAAAAAAAGAATAGAAATTTCTGCTTATATTGAAAATGAGTCAGCCGAGTATCCTTAAAAAGTCTGTACATTTTTTTGGTTGTTTTCGTGAAAATCAGGTCAGGCTCGTGGACGCCACACGCCATTAAGACTGAACGCTTTCCGCAACAGCTAGGCTTATTTCAAATAAGGTGGACTGATTTCTGGATATTAGATATTAAAAGTTTTTAATTAATCAAAAAAAATTAGTGCAATAAACACAAGTTCAATCCTGGTAACGTACTGGGCTGAAGAAACTGAGTCAAGAAAAAACCGGCAGATCCGGCTCTTCTACCGTGTTCAAGATGAGGGAGGTCTATATAAACATTTTGACTACTGCCATTTGGCCTCTTAGCTAGAAACGAAAAGGAATGGATACGACATGCGTCCCACAAAGGTTTCTGGGATCGTAACTGGGGACGCGCTAGTCAGCTATTGGCAGGAGCCCATTTTCCTTGTCTCTAGTAAAAATCCCAGAAATCTTTGCGATCTTTCCTTCTCGTTTCTAAATTGGCTTGATAAGGGAATGGCGATGTTTTAGGAGGCACTAAGAAAACGTGTCATGGAGGGGGGCAAAACTTATTAAAAAAACTCACCTCTGTATTCTTTACGCAATAGAACAGAAAGATAAGAAGACCCTGTTTTGATTTGGCAAAAAAATGTGTTAATATAATTTATGCGACGGGCATCGTTTTTCACGGGGTCTGTGGTTCAACTAGTATAAGCACTTTTCTCTTCCCTTCTTTTTCTTCACTTAAGGTCACTATTTTCAATAAACGCCTTAAAAATTGCGAAATACTTAATATCTACAGAACTATTATTAGTAGCAGAAGAACAATTCTCAAAATGCTTCTAAAGAAAATGGCTGATCCCTAATTTCAGCAATTCAAGATCGTTTCATTCAAAAGGTAGGTTACGATCCCCTTTGGTACTCAGGGAGCTGAACGAAGGCCTGGCTTGTGAATGATTACCGAATCTACCCGGCGATCAGACGCCACCCTCCAATAAACGCCGCCTTCAGTTAAACGTCGCAGACGGAAGTTTGCCAATAAACGCCGCACCCAATTACAAGAATGTGGCGTTATTTGAAGATTATAACAGAACGACGCGACAAAACGTGCTAATCTACATCATCCAGACAATTACGATTCCACCTCAGCGAAAAGAAAAAAAAGCGAGACACTGGAACTTTAAAAATCTTTCTGTTTACATTGTATTTACAAATTATTAATCGAATTATTGTCAGTGATTTAAGAAAAGTGATTTTGAAATGAACGCCACCCTAAAACAAACGCCGCCCTTAAAAATTGACGACACATCGGAAAAGCGCCGCGGTGTTTAATCCGAATAAATGCGGTATGGAATCACTCTTTCGATAGCTTCCGAGCGCATGCACAGACGCTACCAAATTTGTATTGCTAGGTGTCTTTACTCTTACAGAGACGATTTCCCTGAAACTTTGGGTAAAACCACCGCTCCAGAATGCAAAAAGTCCACTTGAAGTTCGTCGCACAAAAAACGCACGGCCTTTTGCTTCAGTAAGCTCCCTTTTAATAACATCAACTGATACGTCACCCAAAATCGAAACTATATCGACTTCTCAGCGGCCTCATTTCAGCTTTCAGGAAGGGGAAAATATATCGGAACAGTTCTCTTCCTGATGTGAAAACAACAGACAGCCGTACCAATGTTTCCCCTATAGCTAGGAACTTTGGGGAGTAACACACAAGACAGGGATCAATTTAAAATACCATATTACATTTAAAGCAACGTACCTGCAAGGCATTGAAAATGGCAAAGAGGTATTCAAACACTACAGAGGTGTTGTTGACGGAGAGAAGACCAAACACCCAAGTCAGTCCCAAGATTGGAAGTAGCGTAACAAAAGCTTTTGCCAAAGATCTTCATTAATACATAGCAGTGTAGAGAAAAAAAGAAAAAGGGAGAGCAAATCAACGCGAAACGTTAAAATCAAAAACAGACGCTGGCTATTCGTACGCACAATTTCCTTCCCTTTTTACTGCACCGATCGAGAACGAGGAAGTAAGTGTTTGATCTTTATTTTATTTTATTTCTCTCTTTGTTTTTATTTATTTTCAAACTGGCTCCTTTATACGTGTTTCCTTCTAATGCATTGTTGCTGAGCATAAAAAAAAGCATGTTAGCACAAATTTAAACAACAACAAAAAAGAGTTACTGTTTTATTAATACTAACATGGTATGTCTGGATTTGTACCTTAAACTGGAATGGCCAGATGCCGACTCTTCATTCAGCATTTTAGAAGTTACCCGCATGACCATTACAAGGATAACGAGGTTAATCTGGCAATGAAAAACACAAGGAAATTCAGTTTAAAGGGGCTCTGTAACGAAGATATTGTTGTTATGGTCAATTCTGTGCTTAATTCCGCATTACTTAGTACCTTTACCACTGTCTTTACACAAAACATAATTTTTGGCGATTTTTGCAAGCCATAGCACTAAGTAAAACTTGAAAAAGTTGGCCCAAGCTTTTCAAGAGTTCAATCCAAGCTTATTATGTCCATCCTAACCATCCGTTGCAAAAAACGACAGGAAACCGTTTTGAATTACATAACTGGGCCATTATCTTTGGAATTCAAATGAATTACGAAGGCGTAACCTGCAATCAGGCAGTCCTCCTTTGCGCTTTCCCTGAAAAAAGAACTCCTGATTGCAGGTTAACGAAGGCGTGGTCGTTGTGGCTTTTAAAAACATGGAAAGTAACATGACATAGGCCCTTTAAGCTACTGTGGGTTTGTCACTTGCTTTTAAGTTTGAAAATTAAGATAGTTCAGTTATGTACTAGTTATGTACACCTACCGAAATAACAAAGATTGCAGGTCCAGCAAAGCTCCAAATGGCACCAGAGTCAACTGAAAGCCAGCAACTAAGTAAACGGAGGAAAATGACTGAAAGTCAGTCGCCCCGTTTTGCAGTTATCGCCCTTCACTCTATAAACTCCCCCGCAGACGTATAATAACGGCGTTTATATTGTGGTTCAATTTTATCCTTGGCTTGAATTCTAGTTTCTGTTTGTTTCAAACTCGTTATCATGCCTTATCAGTGCTTAAAACCAAATCAAGGTAAACATATTTTGGCAAAGGTAAAATTTGAACAACATTAAATACAAAGTATATCATATATTCATTGGATTAGACATCTTAGCTTAGGTTAGCCTGTTCATGCATGAAAACATTCAACAGATCGAAAGCTTGTCAATAAGTAGCTTTGATAGGGACCTTATGAAACTACAACGTCGACGACACGGGAAAGTCAAAAAGGCAATATGTTTAATGAGCGAAACAACAACTCTACACGTGCATCACGCTTTTTTGTACATTTCTTTGCAGTCTCTGCACAACTACGCCGTGAAATGACCAAATTTTATTTAATAAGTATATTTGGGAAAGGGAACGGCAGGGCGATAAATTCTACCATCTGTGTCTGAACTCGGGCACGGTGCCTTTTCTTCAGCTCCAACCCAAATTCCCTTCTTTTAAGTAACTGGGCCCCTTGGAATAATCGCGAAAAAAAGTGTTGCGAAGTCTGTTTTTTAGAGACATTTTCAAGGACGTCGCAGTTGTCGGATCGTAATGTCCCTATTAAGCCTCCAAGACACAGAGACGTAAAAAAGGCACTTTCTACAGAGCAAACGGCTGCGAAGCCACTAACACCTTGCTCTAGCTATACCCCAACGTTAAAACCAGTCTTGATCACAACATGTTTCAGTGTTCGTAATTCAAACTGAACTGGCGTGGCTCTTAATTTCACTGTTCGTTAACAGGTCACCTTCACATATGCTTACATTTCCTTGGAAAAAAGCTTAGACTGAAAAATAGAAATGGCAATCGCAGTAACAATGAGCGGGAAACCTGAAAGGAAAATAACAAAACCAAAAGCGTGAGGTACTAGTTAGAATTGGCCAGCTTTAGTTCAGCCAATCGGTAATCATCGTTCCATGTACGGGAATCCTGGAATTTCGGAAATCCTGAATTTTGGAATCCTGAATACGGCTTAAAGAATCCTGAATCTCAACAGCTATTGGAATTTGGAATCCGATACCTAGAATCCGGAATCAAAAAAAAAAGAAACAGAACATAACATAATCTTTATTTAACGTGGGAGAAACACTTAGCTAAAGCTATTTTGCAGTTTTTCCACAAATCAATATTAAGAAAGAAAGAAAGAAAGAAATATGTACATAGAAATGTAAAAATATAAAATATCTAGCATCTAAAATTACAAAATTAGGTAACTAAAATTGAATGTTCCTCACTTGTTTGTTAAATTCTAGACCTCCAGCTCTTAAACGCAATTCATTTGGAATACTGTTCCATTGTTTTGCGGCGAAATATCTGAAGGAGTTTAATCCATACTTGTAGTATTTACTTTTGGCAGTGATAGCGTATTATTGCCGCTTAAATCGTACTTGTTGTTTCTCATTTTAACGAGTTCCTTAATGCATGTGGACACGACGGTTTTCCAACGTGGTTCCTAAACCTATTCGCTGTAGCAGTTTATAATAAGCTGATGTTTTACCTTTGTAAACATATCTTAGTGCTCGCTCATTTACTTTTTCTATTTTCTTTGTGTTTCTCGAACCACAATGATGCCATACCTGACTGCAATAATAAAATGAGGCAGAACAAACGCTCGATACAGTAATTCCTTGACCTTGCACGGAAGAATCCGGAATCCATGTCGTGACAGGAATCAAGCAGAATTAAAGACTGTCTTGGATTCCGTTACATAGAGTTATAATCAGAAACAGAGCAATGTACGAGAAGGTAAAGAATTTAGAACAGAAAATGTTTTGAATGAATAATAAAACAATTATTGATGATTATCGACTTTACCCCATCCAATAAGCAGGTAATATAGTTTCCTTCCTCTGCCAGAATCAAACACTCTGACCACCATGAAGTAAATATGGAGTCCTTCAGCAAGCATCCACGAAAAAACACAGAGGAAAAAGAAGAACAGGCCGATTGAAATAACGTAACAACCAATCTGAAAAAATAAAAGATAGTAATAACGATAACGATGATGATAACGTTAATAATAATGATGACGATAATAATAATGATAAAAAAATAATAATAATAATAATAATAATAATTGAATAGACTTCTACCTCATTCTAACCCTAGGCCAAAGGAAGTGGGCTCGCCTATTATGTTGTATTATGGTATTACATTAAAGAAGATCCAGTGCAGCAAAACCTGGCATGGTATGAACCTGGTTGGCGTCATTTTACTTCTAAGACCAAAATACTTTTCGTTTTTCCTTTTGAATTTAAATTTGATATTCCCAGCGAGGTTTAAATAACAAAAGTCGTAATTTGCACACTCTGAGAAAGCAAACCCTGAGGTATTCTGGGCGTAGTTACTGTAGTAAAATGACGTCATCGGGCAAATGGCTTACCACTGGCATCACAATAAACCTGATAATGTGGTGCAGCAAAAGGTAAGAAGGGTGTGCTTCATTGTTTCATTGATGTAGCTGCCCCTTTTTTTGATACACGGTTATAAGTGAGTGTTCAGTGATTTAAGTTAGGTTAGAACAACTCTTAGAGTAAAAATGCAAGATTGAGTTGATTATTACTGCACCTTTGATGTCTCTGGTCTTACTCCAAAAGCTGCTACGAGGAACAAAACTTGAGCAAGTAAGATGGCAGTAACCAAATTCATGTGAATAAAATGCCTCGGTGATCGGAGACTACTGCAAGGGTTTAACAAATACCAAAAGCAAATTCACTTGTTGCCATCACAAGCTTTAAACATTTGGCGAAATAACGTCAGAGTTGAGGTGAACAAACAGTCAAGTTTGAGCAACAACAATCGCCAGCAGTGTACGTCTTACTAGTGTCGGAGGTCCTAGAGGCTTAAATACACGTCAAAATCTCGAAGTATCCCCACCCTAGCTTAAAACGAATGATCTAAATTAAATTCAGGGCTGGGGAACTGTACGTTAAGGGTCGTTTTGTAGGACATCGATGATTCCGCATCTTTTTACGCGCGCGTTACATGCCTTTCGCGCTTCTCGCGAAGCATGTCACGCGAGAGTTTATATTCTTCCGTTGTTTCCTTTCCTTGACGGTGACTAGAGAGGGGAAAATCTCAGTGCTCCACAAAACAATGGCGCGATTTCAAAACAAAAACAAACGACCGCGTTGCGGCGAGAGTGAGGAAGGGTTTTTTGGGTCAATTTAAGATTATGTACTTACGTTAAGAAGGCGTACGTTAGGATTGTTAAAATGCATCCCAAGATCGACAGACCGCACCCTATGCAGGTAATTATCGACAGTGGTAGCTTATGCTCGTCTTTAGGCTGAAGAAAATCAAAACACAGCATAGTTAGACTAAGTGTTGATGTGACAACAAATCTTACTGATCTTAGTATACTAAGTAATTATCATCAGGCTAGCGTGCGCTGCAGACGCAATTTAACCTCGGTTAGTACCCCGAAGCAGCACCGAAATCCTTGTATTGGACTACAAGGCCAACAAATTACCGGAACTGTGTTTCGCATTTTCTTTCAACTTGATAAGAAATTTGGCAATGACGTTTTTAACCCGCCACGTACTCAAATCCCGGTACACAGCTGGGGGCCTAGAGCTTGAGGATTTCGTCGCTGATTCGCAGACGGACTTAACCAGAGTTTAGTTTCGTCCGAGGCGAAGGCTGCGTCAGGCAGTTCGTGTTAGTGTACACCTATAAAAAGATCTATTTATTGAAATATACGGTAAACTTCGTCCATCGGAGCGTCCAATCTAGATAATTACTCGAGGAAGGTAACAAATTTCGGATAGGTGAGTGCCGCCCAGGGTCTAAACCGCGACCCTATTTAAGGATAAGATAAACGAAAATTGATGCCCCACTTAAGGCCCAACCCCGAAAAATGACACCCTATTCAAGGGAGAAAAATAAGAAATAAATCGCGACACAATAAAGCATCATTAAATGAATTCCTAATACTCAAAGGGATAGGTCAGTTTTAAAAGATAATTTATTTTCCACGTGTAGCTCGGCATTTACGCTCTTAAATATTAATAATTTATTTGATAAAATTTTGGTATCTTAGCAACACACCCTGATCCAAAGCCATGTTAAATAACCAACAGACAGACAAACAAGTAAGCAAAATATAAAAGCACATACGGGGAAAAAACACATAGAAGTGTGAAATTACCACAACATTAAGAATAATATTTTTTTTAATAGTAATTTGACATGTTTTATTATTATCATCATTATTATTTTTTTAAAATAAATATTATAATTGTGTCAATAACAAAATGCTTAAATATGATTGGTTCTTAACAGCCCATAGTTTGGCTTAATTTTGCTATAATTGTAACTTTAAAACTTTCCAATTTGACCTGTCCGATTACCAGGAGCTTGTAATTGGACTGGTCAAATCCGACAGTTAAAGAACCAATGAAAATCAAGTAGCAAATGCTACTATAGCCAATGAAATGTAACTACATAGCACACGATAACCAATCAAAATTAATGAAAAAATAGTGACCAGGTAGGCTGTCCAGTTTTAAATGGAAAAGTAAAACGGATGAAACTAACTGGTCCAGGGACTTTTATTTACATTAATAAATATTCCAAGACTGAGACTCTTGCATTTTGTTATTGACACAATTAAGTGGTAATAGGACTTCGTGTCGTACAATTCCAGGGTGATCTGGATCGTAATTTCAAATCGGCTTCGCACTACGCGCTCGGCCAATTTGAAATTACGCGCCCGATTACTCCCTGAATTTTACTCCACTCAGTCCTATTACCATTACTTATGATTATGATTACGATTTAATAATGATGATGATAAATTATTATTATTTGAAAAGTGAAAATATAGAATATATTTTAAATTCTATATTAAACTGGCCTTTACCTCATAGTTGGTAACTTTTATTAAAACAGCAAAACTGGTCAAATGGTTACAGTAACACATTACTGTTGACTGGTTACTTTCGGCAACTTGGCAGCCATCTGTAGACCACACACCCTGGTCATCTCTGTTTACAATAGTTATAATAATTAGTTTTTGTATAAATAGCCGTTGTTTTTAAACTAAAACAACCCTCCCCACTGTATTGAAAGTAGCTAAATGACAAAAATTCCGCTCGACTGCAAGAGAAGCAATTGCAATAATCAATCACGTACAATCGACTATAAACCCTCTCTATCGAATCGACCATTGCTAGTCATATCATTGTTATCGTCATCGTTATTCCGAAGAGTCAAAATAGTATTTCAATGCCTTTACAGTTTTCAAAAAATAATAATAAGTAAATAATGATGAAGATGATGATGATGATCTGGAAGTTTTTTTTTCTTACAAATAGAGAATGTTTAAATTAAATTTTTATTTGATTCATTTTTTTTTACAGATAATAATAGACTATGCACTATCTAGGTAACTGATAGTTTGCTGACTCCTCCAGTAGCTTCCTATTTTGTAGAAGCCATGAATAATATTCAAATGTAATTTAAAAAGGCTTTAACTAACTAATACATATTTATGCGTAACTTACGTGTTATTTTGATCCCAAAAGACGCATTTATTTTCCAAGTGGATCTCAAAAGTCTGCAAGCAATATTAATGTTTTAGCAATTGAATCAGCCCGAATCCTCGTTGAGTTCGATGCAGAATTAAATAGTAAAAAGAAACAAAGGAAAGTTGCTTTAAAAATTTTGATGGATTAGGGCCGGAGACTGATTAAAAATATTAGCTAGTAGATCGGTAAAAGCAGTTACTGTGAATCAGCTACAAGAGAATGCATCATGTTGGAACTGTACCTTAGTACGCCAAAATGTCAACTTGACCGGTATTTCAAATTCTTGTTCTTGACGCGGTTTTACTTTGATATTCATTATACGACTCCCTACCCTAAAAGAGCTAAAAAAACAACAAGGTTTTGGCTAATATATAGGCTAATTAAGCTCGGGGAGCAAGGGTGGCGCAGTGGTGAGAGCACTCGCGTCCCACCAATGTGGCCCGGGTTCAAATCCCGGCGTCGACGCCATATGTGGGTTGAGTTTGTTGTTGGTTCTCTCCTTTGCTCCGAGAGGTTTTTCTCCGGGTACTCCGGTTTTCCCCTCTCCTCAAAAACCAATACTTCCAAATTCCAATTCGATCTGGAACGCACGGACACGTTTAAACGAGTCCAAAAGAACTCTTAAGTGCTTCGTGGGTAAAAAAGCAATTTACGTTTACATTTTTTACATTTAGAATGTAGTGCTTTTACAACTGACCTTCTTTCATAACTAAATCAGTAATTTCACTTAAATTCAGTAAGATATTCCATTAGAGCCATTTATATTTAGAAAGCTTAGACATAAGAAGTTTGCGTTATTCTTAACTCAGAATCGGTTTAGCAATAAAGAAACTGTAGCTAAGCGCAATAATTCGAAAACTATTATTTAACAAAAGTCAGGAACTCACGATGTGGTATCCATAGCTTCTAGTGAGTCAAGCGTCATCCAAACAACCTGACCTAATCCTGTTGAGATTCAGAAAAAAAAAGTCGTTTACTTTTTGACTAGCTGTGTTGAATTTCCTTGACATTACATTAGAGACTTTTTTTGAGCATAAGAGAGACGTCTTACAATTTAAGAGGAAATGACATTAATCTTTGCGTTCCCAAATTTAATCTTAATTTTATGAGGAACTCTTTTACACACAAGTGCGCTCAACTATGGAACAAACTTCCAAAAGATGTCAAGCTGGCCGATAATGTTAATATTTTAGAGTTTAAGCTAAGGTCGACTCAGCTGTAATATTTATATTTTTTATTTCTTTTTTTTGGAATTTTTATAATTTTTTATATTCATGTGTCCACAGATTATAGATTGTATGTATATATATATATATATATATATATATATATATATATATTTTATTTTTTTTAACACTAGATTTTTATTATAACTGTAGTTTTAATGCACGTGCGTATTTTGAACGAGCACTTGTGCTCTTAGGCATTAACGTGGGTAGATAAATTATTGATTGATTGATTGGACTGATTGCTTAATTGATAACAAAATAGTCAGATATTACTACTTCGTTTCCGCTACATACTAACCCACCAAACCTGTAATTTCTTTTGCATGCCCATCAATTCCTACCAAAGTTTAATTAGCTATTTGGATGAACACGTTTTAGGCTCTCCATAAAACCTGCATAAGAGACTTGTCCATTGCAAATTTAGCGAAAATTCTGAAACATTTTAATTTTAATTTATTTTTATTTTTTTATTTATTCTTTTTATTTTATTTTTTTCATTTTCTAAAATTTGGTTTCATTTGGAGTGAATGGGGCTTAGCTTTAGTCCCAACCACTAAATTTTTACTCAGTTTCTCTCCCGTCCTTGGCCACGGGTCCCACGAAGTTCTGCGATATACGTACACATTTCTAGTCCATTCTTGGTGGCTTAAATTATCTCCTACAAGACCAAACGTAACAGTACCTGTGCTGTTTGGGTAGAATGCAGCTCGAGGAAGTATAACTTTGTCCGAGCGAATTGAATTGTTAGAAAAATCATCTCCAAGAATGTCTGGAAACCTCAGCTCCCGTATTTTTGATATGTTAACAGATGCGACAGCAATTTCTGAAAAGAAAATTGAAAACAAACAAAGCTCACTCAAAGATCTTCTTCCCAGGTCATTTTTTTTTTAGCTTATCTGAGCAACTTGGAGAATTAAAAAAATGCATCATGACCCCAATAGTCTTCTGTTCATCTTGGGAAAAACCGTGCAGCAACGACAAAAACTAGCGACAAGCAAGCTAGACCAATACACGGACTGTCCCAATTTTCTACTGTCTGTAACGAGTTTTTCTCTTCATTACCTGGTCATGCTTGTTGTTGGTAACGGAAACGAACATTATTATTATTATTATTATTATTTTTCTTATTCTTATTCTTATTCTTATTATTATCATCATTATTACTAATAGTTATTTATTAATTTTTTTAACGAAGAACAGTTCAGCTAAAGCTAATTAAGAGTGCCATATTCCCCACAATCTTGTTGATTAGCTAAATTTTTCCCTTAGGTTCTTTCTCTTTAAACGATCAGTGCTGTAGCCAAGAAGAAAACACAACAACAATGATGCAATAGAGTAGACTGGAAAATGTAGAAATCCTGGAAGGCCTTTACTTGTACGACAAAAATAACAACTGAACAAGTTTATTTCTACTGTAGAAAGACTATGGAGGCCCGTTCTGGTCAAAATTAATATAATAAAATGACATCACAAGTGACTTTTTCGGCCAGTGCAGCATTTATTATGGACCTCTTGAGTATTTTTGTCATCACTACATAGGATTTTTTTAGTGTGTTTTTATTTTTTTTTAGCTGCATGAATTATTTTTTAATTAAGGCTGTTTACTTTTTTTATGTTGTTGTATGAATAAATTTTTCATGCGTACCACAAATAATTTTTTAGTGGTACCGCGAATTATTTTTAATACAAGTATTGAGAATTATTTTTTTTATGGTGCTGATAATTATTTTTCGCTGTATCGAGAATTTATTTTTGGTTCTACAATGCTTTGCGGGCCTTGCAGTTGAAGTGGACTGGTTCGAGTCTTTGACTTCCTTGAGCGACCATTTTGAAAACTTTGAAGTGGAGGAGTGTTTTCAAAGAGAATGCCAAGGCGAAACATTGTCAGAGAACTGAAACGACAGAGGTTTTCATCTTTCTTACAAAATCTGTCAGGAGCTAGTAGTCTGTCGTTAGTGATGAGGTTTTCTGGACCGAAGATTTAATAGAGGAGACTACGAAGGGACTTCACAACTCGTACACAATTCTAACCCTTATTCAGAACATGACATGTCTGCCCAATTGAACTGTTCTTTACCCGGTCTTGTCCTCGAATCTTCGTCTCGCACTACACATGCTGGTTTTCGGAACGAAGACGCAGAGAATGAGAGTGTCCGCTACCCTGAAGTTCAGGAAGAAGCTCCCGATTCTAATCCAGACGGGCGAGCACCAGAAGCAGAGCCAGATGGACTCGAGGGAGAAGACCTATGCTGAGTGCTAGTTAGACTAGACTTCACTAAATGGGAAATTCGATTGATTTATCTAATATTTATGTTATGGCATTATTGGCTATACATCTCAGGTATCTGACGTTGGACCGACTCATTCATCTCCGAATATTAAAAACATAATGTTAAAAATCAGGAATTACTAGACTGCCATCGTAAAGGCACTCGAGCAAGTTCCCCATGTTAGTTAGTTAGTCAGGTCTACTCTCACTAGCACTCTTCGAAGGTCATATACCTCGAATCCATTTGGCTCTGCTAGTTCTTATGCCCCCCCGTCAGGATTTGAATCGGGAGATTTTTCCTGAAGTTCAGGGTAGAGGGCATTCTCTTTCACAGCAATGACAATGACAATGACAATGCTTTATTTATTTGGAGTCTTACACAGTCCTATGTACATTGACTTTATCCAAATAATTTAGAATCATAACACAAATTGCACACTGGTGGAACTATAATCAATGTTAACCTAAAGAACTAATGATCTTCTTTTCTCACAGCAGTCGAATACGTATTTTGCAATTAACTTTTGCACTGGTTTGTTCTTGCTCAGCATCGTCCTTCCCGAAAGCCAGCATGTGTGGTACGGGACGAAGACTCGAGGTGTAAGATTGGGTAGAGAACTGTTCAATTGGGGAGACATGTCATGTGCAATAAGCAGGGTGTCCAGCGGCATGGTTGCTCAAAAATATAGGCAAATAGGAGACTTAGCATTGAGAAAATAGGACAAATAGGAAACTTTGTATTAAAAAATAGGAGAAAAATGGGAAAATCAATAGTACTTTTGTGGACAAAAGTTGGCCTCCCTGCACCCCATCAGGGTTATAATAAATGCCACGAGTCCTCAGATTCTACGTTCGCAGGATTGAGATCAACTTTCGCGGCTAAGAAGGAGTAAAAATGATCAGTAACGTTTAGTTTATTGCCTCAGTTATGCTATAATCAGAATGATATGCTTGACTGCAGGTCAAGCGTGGTTCTATAATCAAAGGTGATCATATGCAAATTCCCCTCAAGTTGGCGGCAAATCTTTGAAAAGCTTTTGAAGAGTGAAATTTCTTAGTATAGAAATTTCTTACGATTGAGTTGTCATTGAACGATATCGAACTAGAACGTAAAAGTCCTATGGAAAGCTTTCCTTCCATTAATCTGCAATCGATAGCTGGTTGAGAATATGCTTGTTTGAGTCAAAACACCGCATAATTTTAAGTACGAAACCAGGCTTTCTGCGGTGTACGCAAAATGACACTGATGTGTTTGGTACCAGATTGTAAGTTTGTCATGGTTAAGTTCTAAGAAGAACATAACACTGCTTAGCTATGACTGCAAGACCGGTTTTGCAACCAAAATATTGGATCCTTCATCAGTTGCTTAGGTATAGCTGTTAACAAGGGCTCACCAAGAGAGCTAGCGCCGTACACTAAACTTTAGTCTGTTCTTTTCATGTAGCATCCAGAATCAGAGAGTGATCATGACTGGTTTTTAAAAACAAGATGCTGATTGGATTGGCCTGTGTTGTGAGAGGACAACTTGATCCTGTTTTCAGTTTCAAAGATGAACATAAAAGTGAGCAAGACTTCAAAATAAAATATAACATGTACAGATACTGAAATGCAGTTTCAGTGGGCTATACACAATATTATTCAATAGTCAGGAGGAGAACTATAACACTACATACAGTACATGTACATGCAGGTTAACAAAAATGTTAACAGAACTCTAACAGGCAATAGAGGTCATGGAAAGAACAAACGTAACTGTTATTTTTAGTAATATTAGAATATCAAAGTCAACATACTACTTGCTTTATGATAAATTTCACTCAAAAACACATACAATTATAATTTCATTTTCAATTTTGTTACAAATTTTCCCTTCACCGGCTAAAAAATAGGAAAAATATGAGGTTTTAGTTTAGAAAATAGGAATAGGCTCAAAAAATAGGAAAAAATAGGAACTGGACACCCTGAATAAGGGTTAGAATTGTGTACGAGTCGTGAAGTCCCTTCGTAGTCTCCTCTATTAAATCTTCGGTCCAGAAAACCTCATCACGAACGGCAAAGACTACTGGCTCCTGATAGATTTTGTAAGAAAGATGAAAACCTCTTTTGTTTCTTTCCCTGACAATGTTTCGCCTTGGCATTCTCTTTCAAAGCACTCCTCCACTTCAAAGTTTTCAAAATGGTCGCTCAAGGAAGTCAAAGACTCGAACCAGTCCACTTCAACTGCAAGGCCCGCAAAGCATTGTAGGCCCAAAAATAAATTCGCGATACAGCGAAAAATAATTATCAGCACGATGAAAAAATAATTCTCAATACTTGTATTAAAAATAATTCGCGGTACCACTAAAAAATTATTTGTGGTACGCATGAAAAGTTTATTCATACAACAACATAAAAAAAGTAAACAGCCTTAACAAAAAATAATTCATGCAGCTAAAAAAAAAAATAACAACACACTAAAAAAATCCTATGTAGTGATGACAAAAATACACAACGGGTCCATAATAAATGCTGCACTGACCGAAAAAGTCACTTGTGGTGCCATTTTATTATATTAATTTTGACCAGAACGGGCCTCCACAAAAGACAACTAAATAAAAAGAATTTACAAGAAATATAATTATTAATAACAATGCATACAGTCTTTGGAAACCCAAAATAACTTCTAAAAAGCTAAACTAGTTGGGTGACCATAATTAAAATAATTAAAAATGTGCAAAGTCAAGAAAAAGGCATAACAAATACATTCATATATGACAGAAGTTTAATTGATGTTAATGTTTTTTTTGTATAATGTTGTTAACAACTTGCAAACATTTTAAATTAATGATAAAGCAATTATTGAATTTAGCTTTAGTATTACATAAAAATTATGAAGGTTGAGAAGGGTGCTATCCACCACCTGGGCTACAGCTTCATTCAGTAATTGCTAAATATAATTATACTAATGTTTTCTTACTGACCTACTTTTCCTCCTGATGAAATGGTCAATGCTTTGTAGCCATCTTGATTAGGTTCCATTTGTTCTGCTACGGCAAGGCCGATGTCTTCAACTTTTTGCACTATCTTGAATTCTATTCCTCTCTGCCAAATGTTTGCAACATTTATAAGCTCTTACAAACAACCCACCCTGGTAACCTAAAGTTTAATTTGACAAAATCAAACCATACAGGAAAAAGTGCTTAATAAGATATCCAGTACCTCATTAGCATTTTTAGCCAAACATCTTTCATTGTTTCGGTAATTTTTCGTTAATGAAGTAAATATTCGAGAAAAACTGTAAAGATTAGTTAGAAAACTTTCAAAAATGTGGCAGATTTCAAGGGATCATGTCACTGACTGCTCATTTAGGTCGGTGTCCCGTGACTCGAACCAGAGGAAGAACCAGAGATATCTAAAGTTTTTCCTCTTTCACCACTGGTCGAACAGCGCAGCTCCACTCAACTGAAACCGACCGTCTTTTTTTGTAGATTGTAAAAATATATCATTATATAGTTACATTATTAACTAAGACATCAGTCATACCTAAAATTGAACAGGATAATTATAATTTACTGGTCAATACCTGTTCGGTTGACTGGAAAACTTGCAATCGCCCTAAGTCTATTAGACTTAAATGGTAACACTTACCTCAGAGGCGTTTGGTATTCTGTGGCTTTCCGTAAGTAAATCTCCAGCTAAAGAAACATAGCTCTAAAACAAACAAAAAAGTAAATGCTGAGTTCTAAAAGTGAATGATAACTAACTTCTTATTTGCTGAAGTCGCCTTTTTTTAAAAAAAAATGATACAAGGGAACGACTGAATTGGACCAAATTATTTACGTCGAATACACTACAAAATAGGACTAAAAATTAATAAAAGTGATTTAGTCAAGTCTAAACGAAAGCAATTGATCCGGTCAGCAAGGACGCAAAAGATGGCAATAATCACAATATTCTTAAACAACTGTTGTAGCAGAAATATCCTTTTTTTCTTTCTTTTGTTTTGTTTTGTTTTGTTTTTTTTCTCAGTGAAATTGTTAGGGTATGACAGATATACTGAGGCAGTTTTGAGTTTTAATTAGCAGTTTAATATTTTCTCGATCTCCTCACCTGTACTCTTGATAGATCTTCAATACTGATTAAAGTCAAGTTTATACTGAGAACGTCCTTCAAATCTGAGACAGTAAAATAAGAGGAAGAGAAAAGGAAATAAACACTCTTTCTTTCCTTAATTAAAGAACTAGTCTTTCAAAACTTAAAGCACTCATCAAATAAGGATCTGACCATTAGCGGTCGACTAGAAAAGGAAAGTAGATAAGGCCCTTGAAGTCAACTTCTTAGAAATCAACCTTTTTCACACTGCATGCTTCTTTAAGGTTCACATTAGTGCGGAGTGATTCGCTCATTCCGCCACTTGCCAGAATTTAATTATACTAATGGGACGGCCAAATTTAGTACAAGGAGAGATATTGTTCTTCTTTCTAAGTCCAGTAAATTTATATATTACCGTTTTCCAGTTCCTGAACTGTCTTATGACTGACTGCCTGCTTTAGAACCCGTGATGTGACGGTTGTACATGTATTCACTGTTTTTGAAGGTAAAAGCGTATGGAGGCTGCTACCGCCCACCGGAGTACTACGGACAGCTACAGGAGAAAACGACAAACAAAAAAGTCATCGATCAGCACCGAGCTAGGATAGAAACCCTCTTTTAAGGGTGTGCTTTTAGAATAGTGTGATACCTACTAACCAGAAAACACCGGTGTTGACAGAATAGTCGCTGTTCTATTTTGTGATATGGGTGATGGCGATTGAACGATGACTGTGCTAGCGTCCTGTTTTCGATGTGAATCTAAAAAATACACAAGCATATTATAAGTAGACGGAATTGGATGTAAGGTCTTGTTGTAGTCGTTGTTGTCAAAATAAAAGATTTGAGATGGCGGATGGACTAGTTCCTTCCCTAATTATCAATGATTTCACAACGACGACACCATTATTGTCAAGGTTTTTCAATGTATTAGCCTACTTCTTGGTTTCATCATACCTGTTCCTTTAGTTTTATGGCTATGTTTAGGGGGAAAATGGAGATATATTTGGATTCATGCAGATCAGAATAAATTCAGGAAAATGAAGTCATAATGACGCTAGCGGAGAAAAAACATTTCTGGTTACTGATGTAACGAGTGGTCTGTGAAAAAAGAAGGAAGACGATTTATTCGCCGCGCTATGGTGACAGGAGACAATGACGAATTTTGACTGATTTTTCTTAATAAAACTCTTTAAGTCAAACTTGAAAGCGTTGCCTAATACATTACTAAAATATCATTCCAATTGATCAGTAAAACTCTTTTCTTTAACCTGAGAAAATAACCGACATTTTGCGACGGCATTTTTGGCTACAATAGTATGTGCGCTCTGATTAGCTGATAAGCTGGCAAGATTTTCAAAAAGGTATCCGCTGACCAGCGTCACATGACTGTACGCTGGCTATCGTGTACAACTCGTCGAGGTGACATGTTTTTTTTTTAAGTTATTCGCTGACCAGTTATTGTTTTTAATTGATCGGAGGCTCAGGTCCAAACTTAATCATTATCAAAGAAAGTGTCTTGTGGTTTCGATCGCATCTCCAGGTTTGTTTAGGTTCAGTGAACACGACTTCAAATGACCTCTTGCGCGCGGATGCTGAAAATTACTTCCCGTGTGTGTGTGCATGTTTTTAAATTTTGTATTCATTTTAATTGACCGAGCGAAAGCGAGGTCAATCAATGCAAGGCCTGCATGAGAGATTTCCCCGTAATGACCTCACTCTCGGCTAATAAGTGGTATGTAATGACCTACCTTTGCAAATGATATCCGCAATCCAAGGAACTGACTCCATATTTCCAGCGTGTACATTATGCTCATGTCCTGCCAAACCAGCAAGGTTTGACAATTCTGCCTTTGTATCCATGAGAACCACGGAAATAGAAATTTTCTGACTCTTGATATTGTTAACCAAGTTTTCCATTTGACTATTTTGTGTAAAATTGCTTGCATAAGTCAATAAAACTAGAGCTTGAGAAGCCTGGAGTCTTTTCTCATAAAAAGCTATCAATGTCGTCTCATAAGCAGGGATGAACGAAACTCGTGAACTAGTGTTTAGATGATCACTTTTTATGGCATAAAGTCCCCTAAGTAGGCTTTGCGAGTCTGTGTAGTCTTGGAAACCAAACTTGAGATAAGCTTTATTTGCATAACTTATCAAAGCAACGCGTGTGTGCTCAGGTGATATGTTGAAAGTCTTTACTGTTTTCACTATAAAATTCACCTGGTCATCAAACTCAGTTACAGAACCGCTTGACTGAACCGCGAAGATGATGTCAATTGATTGGAAGCATACTGCAAAGAAAAGGCACGGTTGGTAGATTATAGAAATAAGAGACAATTAGCACAATCGTTAGAGAGTTAAAATAGACATGAACGTTTTCCTTCCTCTTACATTGTATCACTTAATAGAACATATTGGTTAGTGTATAGTGTCACCCAACCTTCTCAAACTCATTATATAATTCATAAAGAAAATACAAAGGAAATTAATGTTTAATGAGTTTGGAAATCTGATGAAAAACTTCTTATTTTTGCATCCTTAATTTCTTCTTCTAACATCATTTTGTTTGAGAGGTATTATCAAGCATTCGACACAGTGTTTCATCACCAGATGAACACCTCGAAGTTCGTTAAAAATACTCCGCTGCGCGTTGTATTTTTAACTCTCTTCTCAGCGTTCCATTTGGTGATGAAACACCGCGTCTCATGCTTGTTATATTACATCCGATCATATCCTTACAGGATAACTAAAGTGGCCTACTTTCCCAATATGATTATTACCCGCCACCTTAGCTGAGTATTAGATATGCAAAAAGCTATTGGTGACCTTACCTGGGTGAATCATTTCTAGGTATAAGACTCCATCCGCACCACGTCCTCCAGAATAAATCAGTACTGAACCGTTCCTCAAGTATAGAGCTCCACCTGCGCCTCCTCCTGCACCGTACCCAGCCCCTCCTGCTGCGGAAATGTTTCCTGAACCAGAATCACCGACTGGTCCTCTACCGTTTAACAAAATTCCGCCCTCTCCGCCCTGTACAGTTGAAGTTGGAAGAACAACGTCTTGTCCATCCGCACCTGAAATGTAAAGGGACTGAGTTTGAACTCTATTATATTAGGACAGAGGAGAGGATGAAAGTAATATGCTCCCGCCAATTTTGATGTTTTTGTCTTTGTTAACTCAAGTAACAATACCAGTCACCAACCTCGCCCCAAAGGCGTTTTCTTATTTGTTAAAATGATTAAATTAATCTGTGTAACTTTGATGGTCTTATCATGAGCGGTTTTAAGGTTACGGAAGGGGAACCTCGATCTGAACCTCTCCCAGATCCAGGAAGTCCAAAAAAGCCTTTTATAAAAAATAAGGCTTAATGTATACCTCACACCTCGGCCCAGACCAGTTACCCACACTTCATCTACTTCAGATCAGTAAAAACTTTTCAATACTGGTAATTCGTTTACCAGATCTTCAGTATAGTATTCATTGAGGAACTGGAAAATTTTTGATAAGCAAATTTTAATTTCTGTCAACAATGATAAATATTATTTGAATTTGCTGTTGTTATTACCTTTAGTTATGTCAACCTTTCTGAGAAGTTGAATTCCTCTATATTCCATCAGGGAATACTCCCTTAAATTCCTTGCACAACCATGACCTCCGGCAGCAATGACGTAGTCTCCAAATTGTGATGGCATTCCTTCTGAATTTATTTCAGCTGTATGTCCCCTTACACCCACTCCACCTCTACCAACTGAGACGTTGACTGTCCTTGGGCCTGAAATCTGGATGATGTTTACCACTAAATCACCACTTTCACCTCTCCCTTGCTTAATTCCACCACATCCACCACCGCCCCCACCCAAGGCCAAGATTCGAAGGCGGAAGGTGCCGTTGGGAACTGAGAACTGAGTTGTCGAATTAGTCAAGACATAACTGATTGTTTCACCTAAGAAAATAAGCAAAGAAATATTAAGGGCAATGTCTTGTTAAGGATTTTTTGTAATTGACATCAGTCTGCAGGCTACAGCAATAAGCGTGCTTGTCAGTCTCCGGTATTGTTGACTCGCGGTTACATCATTAAACTTTCATATCTTATTTTTATGTTCGTATGCTTGTTTTGAATAACACGTTCATCCTAAACAAAGTGACTACCTTTCTCGACTCGTCTTAAAACGCTTGGTTTGAAAACTTTTGCCATACTCGGAAAAGGATTCCGAAACAAGGGATGAGGAATGTTCAAGGAGGGGCGATACCTAGATAGGGTAATTGAGCGTCAGTTGCGAGAGAAAGCAACAACAGCAGCATTTATGGATATATACACCTACCTGAACTATTGAAAAACCGCAAAAATTGAATCAAAAAATAGGTATAAATTATCCGTTTATCAGTTTCATGAATTAGTACTAGAGCAAGATAACACGGCTAGTGAAAAAAATTCAACTTGAGATGTACGACATTTTAAGTGAAGAATTATAACGTCTTTGATAACATAACAAATCATGACACATCGCTTCAGTCTTTAACATTAACGTTGGATAAAATACGCTTATAATTGCCTGTCACTAACTCAAAAATAATAGTAAGTATTTTGTCGACAAATTGGTCCAATATAAATTGCTAGTTTTTCTTTTTTTTCCCTTAATTTCTCTTTCTAATTTTTTGGTCGTGCTGGGTGACTACAATGTTCAAATGCACAGTTTCTGGCACGAAATGTTAATCACGACCAACGTAAGCTTAAACTCGTCAAAGGCTATTTACCCCTGTATTCAGTTTTCTTGAAACTGTTGATACCTGTAAAATCGGTATTGAAACGTAGAAGGCAAATGTTTTGGTTTTCATGGGTTTTAGTCGGGTCAACAAAGATAATCCATTTTTCTTACCTTGCGATGTAGAGAATGATTTACAAAAGAATATGAACAATACACCGAACACCGTATCGACTTCACTTCTCATCCCCGAACTGTGGATCAGAGGAAAATATCCACTTACATGTACGAACAGCGTTGATGAGACAGTTCTTATTTATGCTCTTTAACTGGTCAATTTAGAAACAAAAGTCAATTCAGGCCCATTACTTTAGTCACAAGAAAAGGCCTCATGAAATAATATCACTTAGTAAGGGGTTATGATTTTTAATTATCTATAATTTTAAGTCTTTTCTGGTTCGCTGCTATAAAACATTGAGGTTTTCAACCTTTGTCTTTGGTAAGTAATGAGATGGTTAAATGACCGAATGCACAGCGGCTTTCGTTTTTATTACTAATAATCTGAATTGTCGGCTTCTGTGAAAGGAAGGGTACTTAAATCAAATACTTACAACTTATAATATTTTGGAAGACCATAAAAACTTGGAATTGGTTCTGAGTAGGACAACTAACATTGTTAGTGATTAATAGCAATCCAAGCCGCCTTAGTCTTTCTAAAAATGAATACCATATTATAATTAAAAATCACATTTCTTAAGCTACTAAGTTCATTCAAAATTTATTACTGAATATTAATTTCAAGTAACTGCTTTCCTTTTCCCTTTCCTTTTCCTTTCTTTTTCTTTTCTTTTTTTTTTTTTTTTTCAATCGCTTTTTTCTTCGTTAATTCTTAACTTTTTCCAAGTATTTTGTGCTTTTCCAAAAAACGTTTTCTAACAAAAATCTTTAGTCTTAATGTTGGTGAGTTTTTAAAAATCGTTTAAATTCTTGAGTTTTCACAGACGAAATTTGATGATAAAAAAAAATGTCATATATTTCTTAGGTTTAGAACAATTGTTCGCAAAAATTGATCTGACATGATCTAAAGCCGCAGAAATTCGGCAGCCTCCTTGGTCGAATGCCGCAGAAATACTGCAGCTTCCCTGATCTGATGCCACAGAAATAATGCAGTCCCTTGTCTGATGCCGCAGAAATACTGCAGCCTCCTTGATCTAATGCCGCAGAAATTGTGCAGCCCCTTTGATCTGATGCAGCAGAAATCCTGCATGCAACCCCCTTGATCTACTCGGCGCAGAAATTCTGCAACCTCCTTGATCTAGTGGTGCAGAAATTCTGCAGCTCCCAGAAATTTTTAATGAATGGTCTTTGTCTGACAATAATTATAATATGTCAACTTTATCATAAGAAAGGTTAATTCTCCCATTATGGACAATATCATAACTCTAAGCATATAAGCATATAAAAAGACCAAGCATATAAAAACGGGGATAAAGAGAGCGGTATCCTGGTGAGGCACAAATAATAGTCGCCTAAATTAGAAATACTGAACTAAGAGTACCTCGAGGATTATCTCATAAATTAATTAAAGAAAATGAAAATTTACCGGGCGCCAGGTGAAAGTTGTGCAATTGAGTTACCTACATAGGATTCTTACAAGACTTACAATGAGTCTTCGAAAAATCAAGTAAAGCTTTTAGAGTGTTAACTTAATATATTTGCATTCTAGGAGAATAATATCATATTTTTGGCAAAAATGACGCAACCCTGACAGTTTTCTCTAATTTCAGGGTATGATAGTTTAAAAAGACAGTTATTGACTAATACTCTTTTCCTACGGATTACGAACTGAATAGCTAAAAAGAATATAGTATCATTTATTCCCAGTGTATAATCTTCTTTCGAATTGTCACGGAAAAAACTGAGTAAAATGCGATGAGTGAAGAATATACGCAGTTGTAAAATGATATGATTGTGCTTATTTAAAAGGTGGGTAAAGGTGATTTTTGAAGTTGTTGCTTTTTATTTTTATGGTTTGGTACTTGCAGTATTTCGTTTAAATCTCAAACTTCATTAATGAATAGGAACGACTGAAGTGACACCCACTTGGCAGTGATACTAAAATTGTCTGGAAAGTATTTGAATATGAATATGAAGCTGACGAAGAAGAAGTAAGGTCGATGCAGAGATAAAATGTTTTATTTATTATAGTAAAAAGAGTAACCCGTGGGCTCACTGTAACGGGCAAAATCATTTAATATTTTAATTTGAGATTTGTCGCAGTAACAGATCAGGAAGCAAATTCCTCACTCATTGAAAACTGCATGACGTTTTCACTGCTGTATATGGTGACAGAGTGTTCTATCTTTGTCCATTTGAAAGCAAACGAAAGCCTCTACTAGTTATTAAAGGATTGTACACTGCACTCCCACATCAGCTTTTTTTTATTCTCTTGATAGCTGAGGCTTTCTTTTTCTTTTTTTTTTTTTCACACTTACTTCTAACTGTTCATAGCTTCATTTGTTATTATAATTTCTCAAAAATTTTCAAGATTGCTATGATAAAGCAATATCTTATATACCAACTTATTGTCCCTGTATATCGCTCGTGGAAAGTTCTAGTAATGAGTTTCCGGACATGATGTATTTATTTAAATGTGTCAACAAGGTATTTTGTTACACGTTAACTACTATTTTCTTTTTAAATTTATCGATGTATTCGAGGCAAGGACAAAATTTTATTTTCAAAAAGAGTTGATTCGTGGGTTACATTGAAACTGCTGCTTAGTAAAACCAACAAATAGTTGTTAAGAATAAACATTGACACACAATTTGGAGACAAAGTGCTGGAGAAATGTAACTCAAATTGCGCTGAATAAATTTTTATGTTGATTGAGGACTGCTCGAGTGCAAATTTAAGCCGCATAAAATGCGGTACAAAACTTATTTGATATGGTACTTTGAAAGAAATTAAGGAATAGACAGACACACCTAATATATTAGAAGTTTTTTTGATGAAGAAGGGAAAAAGGCCACAAAAAAGACATTCGTACAAAATTGTGAAATAAATAAGATCAAGAAACACGACTGTAAATCTGAGATGCATTATTACAAAACTATCATTTGCTTCCTTTTTTGTCTTTTTCAGTTTTGCGGTACTGAAAATGTAATATATCGCTTACCTTGAGATGAGACTTCGAAAGACATTAGGGCAAAAATAAACAAGCTAAATATATTGAGAGTGTTCATCTTTTGAAGAGGAAGAAACATCGCTGTCTGGTTTTAGTTTAAAGAAATCTTGTTGTCTGCTTCGCATTTGTATTTACATGAGTACAAAAAGGTTCACTGACGTTAGCTTATTTATGTTTTTTAAAAGGTACAGAACCTAATTGTTTTTTTGTTTCAATTCGGCGGGTGGTCTGGTATAGCCGGCGCAGGTGTTCGTTATTATAAATCTCAACTGCCCAATCGGGATGTGTTTCCCTTTTGCAATTTGGTTAGTACAGGGCTTCACACAGTAAAAATTAAGCCATTTAACATGCTAACAACTGATAGAAGTAATTAGTCAAGTTAGCGAGACAACAGATTTTCAGTTTCAACAAAAAGAAATGTTAGTCCATCTTTAAAATTATTTTTGTCTTGTCGTTGATCTATGCTTTCATCCGCCATTTATTTTGATACTTAACTGACGGGTACTTTTAATGCGTTGTTTGGAAACAAATAATCGAAAAATACTTGACTCTATGTCTCCATATGTTGATTTTCCCGCCGTTGACACGCAATTGTCTTTAGTTTAGTGAAGACTGATATGAAATATCCGAATCCATAATATAAAGTGATTTATTGTACTGTAAGGTCGATAAAAATACGTTTACAGGTTATGTTATTCACGAGTTTACGGGTTATTTTAATACAGCTAAACATTGTCTTATTAAATAACTTGCGTTCAGGACACTTGTTGAGAATAGTAGTAGTTAGCCTCAGACCGTACTAGAGGATTGGCCCCAAACGATGCTCAACATGTGACCGACCTCTGATGTGACCACACTTTCGGCCGTCTTAGCAATAATATAAGTTGAACATTTTCACCAAGCTGGTAGCCTGCGAGAACATCCGTTGCTCCTCGCTCTTCGTCGCTGGGGACGTTTCGCTAGGAGGAACGTCTGCGACTCAGCGACAAAAATTCCATACTGATGACGTAAAATCTGTCCGGAATCCGGTCAGAAGCGCTGATTGGTCGAC